ATAATAAGTAGTTATTATAGATAAATATTAGTCTAGATTATTAGTTAAGGGTAGCCCTTAACTAATAATTAGATAGATTTAGATATCTATTCTTAGTCTTTAAGATTCTAAGCTAGCTCTTTAAGAATTATATTACTTAGTTTAGATAGAATAGAATTATTATTATTAGAGATTCTCTTAGACTTCTTCTATCTATAGAAGTTCTTTATATTATTAGATAGTCTAGTATTAGATAGATATTTCTTAAAGTTAATAGACTACTTCTTACCTCTAGCCTTATTAAATTCCTTCTAGAATAATCTATTCTTATAGATCTCTCTCTCTAGTTCTACTATCTTTATTAAAGTTTCTATAAATACCTTAGTAGCGTCTTTAAACCACGCGTTAGTCTTTTATTTTAACTTCTAGAGTCTAGTATTAAGCTATATAATAGTCTTCTTATATACTTTCTAGCTATTCTATCTTTTCTAGCTAATAAGAGTCTTACTTACTATATTAGAACTTAAGAGCTAGATAGTAGTAGAAAAGGTATATAGAATAGCGCTATACTTATTTAAGAAACTAGATAGAGATATAGACTCTAGTATTAGATTTCTATATACTACTATAAGCTACTTCTAGGTATCTATTTCTAGTATCTCTATTATTATATAGTTAGAACTAATAGAGATATACTATAGAAGTATTATATATCTTACTCTCTTTACTAGTTCTAGAGTACTATATATTATTAGAGGGCTAGATATATAGACCTTAAGGGTCTTATAAGATATAGATATAAATAGACTAAATCTCTTCTTATTCTCTATATTATAGATCTTATTATTAATAGTAGTAATTATACTATATCTATTAACTTCTAGATAGAGCTTTATCTAGATCTACTATTCTTCTAAAAATTTATATAATTATAGAATAATAATAGTATAGTTATCTTTTTACTTATTATTAAAACTAATACTACTTTAAATTATATTAGTACTATAGTAGTTATTAGAGTCTAGTATCTAGTTAATTAAGTTATCTAGATACTAGAATATAGTTTTATCTTCTAGTCCCTAGAACCTTATATAATATAGATATAAAATTAGATAATAGTTATAATTAGATCTATAGACTATATAGATAAGCTAGTATATAGAATATTAGTAGAGTAGCTACTAGATATAGAAGTAGTAGATAGTATATAGCTATCTATAGTTTAACTTATTATTATATCTCTACTAGTAGTACTTATATATCTTAAACTCTAGTCTACTAAGTTTAAGAATACTTTTATTAAGTATAGTTATTTTAGACTTAAGAGGTTTAAATATTTCTATAATATTAGTACTTTCTATCTTATTCTATTCTATAAGAAGCTAATCTTCTAACCTCTTATTTATAATAAACCTTCTCTAGTAAGAATATAGCTTATCCCTAAAGTAGTCTATTATATAGAGTATTCTAGCTTTTCTAAAGGTAAAGATACTTAGAAGGCTTAGAAGAGTATAAGTAGATTTATAGTAAGTATTAATAGAGTATAAATAGTAACTAGCTAGTAGGCGAGTAAAGTAGTAATTATATTAGTATAAGTTTAAATTAATTACTATAGAACTATCTCTAGAGGTTAGATTTAAAGGGTCTATATAGTTCTACTAAGGTCCTTTAATTAGAATACTTATTCTAAGTATCTAGTATATTACTTAGAATATTAGTATTCTATTTCTAATTACTTAGTAGACTACTTAGAATACCTATTCTAAGTATCTATAATTAGCTCTCTCTATAGATATCTATCTTAGCCTTAGATTATTATCTAAGGCTATCTATAGTATTATACTATCTCTTATACTATTTATACTAGAGTCTATATATTCTTCTATAGTTATAGCTAGTAATTTATTATATAATACCTCTTCTAAGGTACTTCGTTCTAAAGTACTTCTATTACTACTTATAAGTAGATAGTTATTCTAACTTCCTCTAGTAAGGAGCTTCTTTCTCTTTTCTTCTATTATATCTAGAGTTATAAAATTAGTTAAGCCTTCTAAGTCTAATCTAGTAAAATAGAGAGTTACTTTATCTATCTTAATTAATTATAAGAGTAATAAAATACCTTTCTCTTACTTATTTTATAAGAAATATAGTTTAACTTATAGAGTAGTATTTATAAAGTCTAATAAGTATTTAGAGTATATTTATTAGAGTTATTTAGTAAGTAAGTATAGAATTAAAGCTTTAAGTAAGTTATCTTATAAGTCTTCTTTCTTTTTATTAGGGTAGATTAGTAATATTTCTAGATAAGAAGATCTATTCTAAGAAGGCTCGCCTTAAGCTAGAGAAAGAATATATAGCTACTATCTAGTAAAAAGCTTAGTAGAACGCTTAGACTACTTTTATATATCTAGAGCGTTTAGAGAAATAGTAGAAGTTATTAGAGTATTATTAAAATAATATACTTTATTAGAATCTATTAGTAATAGACCTTAAGAAGAAGAAGAAGTAACTTAAATAATAATAGAGAGTTATCGCCGAGGAGGTTCTAAATTCTTCCTTAGATTTTAATAATTCTTAGCTTAGTATAGAGAACTAGGCGAATCTAGGTTTATTTAATAGAACTTCTATAATAGTTACTAGTAGTTTATTAAATATTCCCTAGATTTCTAAGTATTTAATTCGTATCTATAGCCCTTCTACTTAATTAGATACTCTAGTATTCTATTACTAATTCTAGATTCTAGAATCTTTTTAACTTTAAATTCTTTATCTATAGTTTTAATATTAGTTTTAACTTTTATATTATATAGTACTAGTTCTAGTAATAAGATATAAAATACTAGGTATATCCTTATATTCTAAGATAAAGATAGTTTATAATTAACTTCTAAAATTTTTTATTTTATTCTAAAAGGTCTAATCTTCTTAAAGTCTAGTTTACTATTTAGTTATTATATCTTAACGTTTTTTTATATAAGGAATACTAGGTCTTCCCCCTTTAGAGATAGTCTCTTTATTCTTTTCTAATTTATATATTTTACTATTCTTTTATTTATAAAGGAAAGTTTAGTTTATCGTTCTAAGTATAGCTTATATAGTTATTCTACCTTAATCTTTACTTTTAGTATAGATTCTTCTAGTTTATAATTATAGCTAGCTATAGAGTTAAATCTATAGTTTATATAGAATAGTAAAGTTTTAGTTATTAAGGTTATTGTACTATTATAGACGAATTAAGCTAGTAGTAGTAGTTCTATCTAATTATTTTATTATTTATTAATATAGTATTATAAGTATTATTCTAGTATTCTATTTAGAATCTCTATTTATCTATCTATC